AGTGATATGACAAAATATTAATTTATAAATTATCAAGAGTTCATGAGGAAGTGGGGAAGAATGAGGAGCTGATGCCAGGGACTTAGGTGGAGCAAATGTTTTGAGAATGATGAGGGCAATGAATGTACAAATGTGCTTTATACAGTTGATGTATGTATGGATTGTGATAAGAGTTGTATGAGCCCCTAATAAAATGATTAAAAAAATAATTGTAATTGTTACACAACCCAAACCCAAACCAAACCCATTGCCCCCAGATCAATTTCTACCCAAAGCAACCCTATAGCACAGAATAGAAGTTCCTTCTTTGGACTGACGAGGCTGTAAACCTTGATGGGAGCAAGAAGCCTCACCTGTCTTCCATGGAGCCATTGGTGGAGTTGATTTACTGACCTGTGTTTAGCAGCCCAATGTGTATGTAGCCCACCATGATCCCAGGGCTCCTAATTGCTACCGCCAAAGCAAAAACCAAAGTGATGTCATTGAATTGATGGCCAATCATTGCAACCATACAGGACGAGTTAGAACTGCCTCTGTGAATATCTGAGACTCTGTTTATGGGAGTAGAACAACCTGTCTTTCTCCCAGGGAGAACCTGGTTTGAACAGTCAACCTTGAGGATCACGGCCCAACTCATAATCACTGCGCCACCAAAGCTCCATTGCTATCACACGTCTTAAGAAATGTGTTACATACTGCCGTTCTCATTGCTACAATAAATTCCCCAAACACCTAGTCATGCAATGGATTATGCACTTAGAAGTTACTAACTCTGCTACAAAGAATAAAGTTTAGTTCTGAATTAGACCTTTTGAAATGCTAACGAACATGTTTCTCTAAAGTGAACTTGTTTGCAACCCCTGTCCCCGTGAGAATCAACTCACTCCAGAGATGAGGCCCAGAGCTGGAGGTGCCTCCGTTATGTCTCATAACAGCTAAATACCAGATGGTGCCAGCGGTGTGTAGTAAGAGCTAGCAGTTGTAATCTTCAAAGCTTAAGTGGAATAGCTATTCCCCAACTACTAAATGTTTACAGCAGATGGGCAACTCCTTTGTGGATGGTTCCCGGTGTGGCTTGGCCAAAGGGGGAGAATACGTATGTGAACCTCAAAAGTGAGAATTTAGTGTGACTAAAAGTGCTGCTTCAGATGAAAATTAAACTCCACTTTAAAGCAAATTTCCACTTGACTTAAAATCTCTACTTTTGATGCTCCAAAGCAGCGGTTCTCAACCTGTGGGTCGTGACCCTTTTGGGAGTCGAACGACACTTTGGCAGGGGTTGCCTGATTCATAACAGTAGCAGAATTACAGTTGTGAAGTAACAACGAAAATAATTTTAGGGTTGGGGATTCACCACAACATGAGGGACTGTATTAAAGGGCTGTGGCATTAGGAAGGTTGAGAACCACTGCTCTAAAGTGAAAATCCAGCTTCTGGTAAAAATTTTAACTATTTGGAACCCAATCGCCACAAGGATCAGGATTTTAGCTTGTGGGAGGAATTGTTTATTGCATGTTATTTGTGACGTGTGTGTTTGTATTTGACCTAAGAAGAATGTCTTGGTTAACATGGCTTACAAGGTTGTTGTTGTTGTTAGGTGCCATCGAACCATTTCTGACCCATAGTGAGCTTATGCACAACAGAACAAAGTGCTCCCCAGTCTGGCACCATCATCACTTTGCTTCCTATGCTCGAGCCCGCTGTAGACCTACTGTGTCAGTCAATCCATCTCCTCACGGGTCTTCCTCTCTCTCCTGAAAACGTGTGTCATGCATGCGAGACAAAATCCTTGCCTCTGAGGAGTACTCTGGCCGTCCTTCTTCCGAGACAGATGTGCCTGTCCTTTTAGCAGTTCCTGGTACTTTCAGCATTCTTCTCCAGCACCACACTCACCCTCACCCATGCTACTCCAGTCTTCCTTATGCAAAGCTCAACTTTCACCTGCATCTGAGCCCTTTGAAAATACCATGGCCAGGGCCAGGTGTGCTTCAGTCCTCCACATTAGATCCTTGCTTTTCAATCTTCAAAGAGATCTTGTGCAGCCGATTGACCTAATACAGTATGTCTTTTCATCTCTTGACTGCTGCTTCCAAGAACTGGTTGTGGATTCAAGGAAGGCAAAATCCTGGACAAGGTCAAACTTTTCTCCATTTATCAGGATGTTACCTGTTG